GATCACGAACGTTGCTCAGCAGCTCGAGGAACTCCGTTTTGATTTGCTGGTAAAATATCGTGAATTTTGCATACTGCAGCGTGGGTATACCCAGTGAACATTTTTCTGGTAAACACTCTGTGGTCTAACTTGAAACCGCCGCTACAGTACTTTCTTGCCGTCGCACATCGTTAATATTTCTCGAAAAACAAAAGGAATACAATGGTCGAAACGGCCATCAAGTTGTAAACGTATGGCAGTGATTTACGGACGATCCCTTAAGGCTACAAACTTTTCCAAGACAGAAAGCCATAGTAAAATTTTACGCTGATTGTGAATCTGCGACTTATTTTTCAGGATTCCAAAAAACATCTAAGTCGAGTAAAGTAGTAGAAGTGTGGCTTGAATCTGGCATGATTACATAGATGCCAGGCAAGCAGTGCGTTTGCGACAGTCTGTCTGCGCCCTGCAGTTGCACTTACTCCGACTGCTGCTACGACTTGTCTAAGCCTCGCTCATATTCATAATTTGACGTACACAAAAATCAAAATTTTTTATCAAATCGGTAACGAGCATGGAGAGTATAAAAAAACTAACAAGAGAAGGTGCAATCCGTTTTAAAACATTCGAAGCGGTTGAGGCAGTAGGCCGTTTAGGCTCTTAATTACAACCTGATGCGTTCGACGCAAACGTGCCGAAAAGTACTGAATTTTCATGCAGCAAATTTTAGCGAGTCACATCACCATTAACCATACACCTGGCTGGTGTTTTCCAAAGTTTCACTTCATAAAAAGGATGGAAAAAGTATTTCAAACAAATTTTAACGAATTTTACAAAAAATTAAGAAATTTACAATTTGTGTTGAATTTTTGACAATTTCTACAGTGGAGTCGACCGTCAGATTTGTGATTTACGCAAAGGTAGCAGTTTATTGTCAAATGTTACTAAACAATGCTCCGAATAGTGCACTAAAATCTTGATTATAATATGCTAATAACAGAATTTTTAGCAATCTTCGAAGTATAATCGTGTGCCAGCTAAGCCTTTTGCATTTCGGCTTTTGCTGCAAGACTGCCCTTTCTTGCGATGTTAAAATGTTTTCTTATTGTCGAATTTGTGAAATTTGTTTTTAATGACTTTCATTTAACTGTGAACTACCAATGATCTTTTACTGCACCAACTTATCTGCTAACAAAGGCTCAAAAACATACTGCTAAAATATTATACCAGAGCAGACACTTCACCATACAGTATAGAATTTCCGAAGTGATTCGTGTCGCCTTAGCAGTAAAGCACGACGGTAAAGCACTCTTCTATCGTACGGAAAATGCTAATGTGTTGGCGTTATACTCGAGATGTTTTTGAACACGCGACTACCCGTTTTTTTTTATGCATGATGTGTGTAATCCCTAATTTTGGCAACTTTCGAAAGTTTATGTAAAAAGTTGTTTAGTCTTACAATCTTAATTTAAAGAAAAGTCTTGTTTTTTACCTATTGATGGTATCTATAAAGTTAAGTTCAAAATGCGTACGTTCTCGCAAAGAAATCTGTGAACGGCTCAGCTTGCAAAAAACATATGCTTGTTGCCAACAACACTCGCAAAAACGGTTTGCTGTAGTAGTCAACATTCGTTAGCGTTCGTCTTGTGGAACAGAAATGAAAGCTAGCACCAATAATAAATTGGATCTCAATACTTGGTCCGGCAAAGAAAAAATGTATTCACGCTTTCATTTTTCTGTTTTTTCCACAGTTAGAGTAGCTAGCTGTTTGTAATTTTAATAATTTTTTAATTATTGGACAAACTCAGGTATTAGTTAGTCTTTTGTGTACAATCGTTCAGTCAACTGTGATCGCATGCGCTTCAAGTGCACCATGCACTATGTACAAAATATTAACGTCTATTTTGCATGACAGGCGTTTAACATTTGTATGGCAACACGTACTGTGAAATTAGTACTGACTGAAACATTGATTTGGCGGTTAAATTTGCAAGGGCATTTTTGGTTGCCTTGCCGGAACTGATTTTTTGTTTAGGCAAAAACTGAAAAAAGGACAAGCCAGATTGAAACGGTTTGCCTAACGAAACAGTAAGCGTTACAAATTAAAATTACACTGAGTTCATTAGGATGGCGTACGCCACACTATCTTAGCGTTTCTAACACTGGACAAAGCTAGCGCATGCTAAATATTGCAGTTATATTCATTTAATCATTATTTTGTTGATTCATAATTTTGTAATTTATTTGTAGTACTGGAATTAACAAACGAGAAGGCTCCGCACACCATGGTTAACCACCAAAGTCTCCGCATACCAATTTTTATCATTTTTGATTTTTTTTAAAAAGATCACCTACATCTCCTAACACTACCAAGAGAAAAATGCACACCACCATAGCCTCTACACACCATTATTTTGAAAGATTCCATTAATTGTTATCACAGGCGGAAAAAAGACGGCTCTTTCGTCTCGCGGTCTGGCTCCTCTTTTTTTGATATCACTCGTTAACCTGCGCTTCCGTTACAGGCAGCGATTTTTTCGGTTTTACCCTTGCGCTATATTGACAAAAACCAAAAATTGTAACATAGATACAACGTATTTTAAGTGAAGTGCTACTTCCTGTACTCACTCAAAACTTACAAGATAGCCATTATAAATCGTATGTACGACCGACCACCGTATATCTTTGCAACTACAAGTGTAATACGGTGTCCAGAAACTGCCGAGATTTTTTTTGAAATATATAGTGGTGGCGCAAAAATGCTGGCCGGAGACAAAACGTGGTGCGAACAGTTGTATGCGGAGCCTGGTGGAGGTGAAAGGTGGTGTGTGGAGACTTTGGTGATAAAACAGGGTGTGTGCAGCTTTCTCCATTAGTAAATCTGACATTTTGACAACGATTATACTCGTACATAGTGCAGTGGCTATGACGACAAGCGCCAACACCGCGCTCATTGCAATCTACCTGTACCTTTACGCAACTCATATTCTGACATTTCGTTTGTAACTGAAAAGCAGTAATCTAATAACATTGCATTTCTGAAAATACTTGGAGCATACTATTCTAACAAAAAAATCGGCTATGCAAGTCACTTTTTTTTCAACAGTAAGTATTATCATTCTTTTGTATTAATAATTATGTAAACTTACTATTACAAAGCATTCTGTTACACGTATACGCGCTCATCATATCCGTTTGGCAGATCAATGCCTTATTCATTGTGACCGGTTGTATAGTGCACACATTTTGCTCCAGCATAATTTTCGGTTTTGGTTTTACAAGCTCACAAAATTATTACTTCATCATGCTTCACTTCAAATCCACATAAAAGTAAAAAAATCATTCAGCGCGCTATTTGGATACAAAACGAGAAAACAAAATTTTCCCAGTCGCTAACGTAGCTGCGGTGAAAGCAGGATAGCACTCATGATTGAGCAAAGATCCGAATCTTAGAATCATCGATGGGCGGAATGTATTATGTGCGCGTGTACACGTCACGGAACGCTTTGCAATACTGTCTACCTAATCATTAAAAGAATAATAATGCGAGTACTTACCACGTTTTGAAAAATAGTACTTTGTATAACCAATTTTTCTATATAGAATAGTATGTTTCACGTATTTAAGGAATATATTCTTATTAAATTACTGCTTGTGAGTTGCAGTGTAGTAGATGTTAAGCTGACAATTATATACTGCTTGTGCAAAATACTGTTCATGGTGTACATTACTGTATACATAACTCATCGTATTAAAATCATGTTAATATGAGCCCACTTTTTCACATCAAGTTGTTTACATTCTTTCGCGACGTGGAGAAAAACCCTCAAACATTAGAGCGATCACTTCGTCTCGATTGGTAAAACTATTTAGCACTATGGTACTCATGCACAATACATATGCATAGCTGCAAAGCAGTCTAATTACATTAACTTCTATAAAAAATGTTGTTCATTTAAGCATACGTAAAGCACATGAAGCACAGCGTACTGTTTATTGCTGTTCGGCATGATCTTGTGTTTACATTATTTGTGGCATGGTGGAGAACCTAATTACGCTACTGGCGCGTTGAATTCCATTCAGTTAAAAACTTCATTATAATTTCTACAATTTGAGGATTATACTTACTTATTTATAGCCATACAGGTATGGCTGTACTATGAACTGTTCACTTTCATAATTGTACTTTTATTGTGCTATAAATGTGACAGTTGTTTCCAGTACTGAGGCTTATTGCGTGCACGCAAGCTACTTTAGTATGTACGTGTACATCACGACAATTCCCTAATCTATGCAATTTATAATACGAACTGGTGTCTAGATGTGATAATTGTAATGAAATTTTTACATTTATATTTATGGGGTTAAATAGTCATGTACCACACATTTTGACGCTATTAGCAAATAAAGTAATACTGCTGAAGTTCAACAAAGTAACTTAAAAATTCATAACTTGGTCACGTGACTCCAAATTCACATGGTTCAAATATTACTAAACTCAGAATTTTTTTCTGAGCAAAACTAGCTATAACAAGTTCATTTCTGGTAGGTACTTGTAAACTGGACTAAATCCTTAATTAATTAATTAATTAGTGTAACTAATTAGTGTGTAAACTGAAGCAATTAGTTTCGATAAACGCAGTGATATTTTACGTTATATTAGTGACGTCATAAGCTGCAATCTGGACGTGACAAATTGCAGAGCGCGCCGCGGGACGCCAATGCTGCTGGCGGTAATTGTGCCTCTTTCCGCATAATCTTGAAGTCGTTTGTCTGTAAGCTAACTGTAACGAAGAAATTAGATTGCATTACACCAAATTTAATTCAGCGAAATAATTGCATTGGATTAAGAAATTAATTTGCATTAAACTGGTGTTAAGGAAATAATATAAACCAAAGTGAGCTAAATTAAGGAAGTAAATTAAATTAAAACAACTTAACTAAAAATTTTTGAATTAAAATTTAGATGCGTTGTACAACAATAACTGGACGATGCCATGATGGTGCTGTTCTACGTGCAGGATCAGCCTTTGGCGGAGGTGATGCAGGAAGCTCTGAGCAAGTACATGCAAGGCCTCAGCTTCCGCGAGCGGAGCGGTGGAATCTGGACCGGGACATGTGCTAGGAGGGCTTTAACAACGGCATCGGGGTGGACTTGCAGACGGGCTTCGTGCCGCACAACTGCGGCACGTGGATGGATAAAATGGGCAGTTCCGAACAGGCCGGGACGCGCGGCAAACCTGCAACGCCCAGGTACAGAATTTGAGGCATTTTTTACCATTCGGTTGTACTGGAACATGTTGTACTCGTACGTTTTTTGACACGAAATTCTTGCAATTTGCCAAAGTTTTTGATTAATCTGGTTTTCTGGGGCTTTTTTATGTTTTCGGTTATTGATTTGTGCTATTCTGACTCTTTTCCTGTATATTTGGGATACTTCAGAAGTACATGTAAGATAACTATGTAACCTTCTATGTACATGCCTACGTGGCCTGAGTTTTTTCTCCCTATTTTCGAATTTTATTCTGTATGGTGGTTTGATCGTACTGTATTGCTCAGTTTGCTAGGTTGATATAGTAGAAAAGTGGCTGATTTCTGGGTGTGGCAGTTCGGAAACTGCATTTCAGTCTAACAACCTTGGCAGTGAGTTAGCTGTGATTTTGTAATGATCTTCACAACAATTTTCAATACGAGTACTCTTTCGACGTTGTGCTTTTTGTATTTTATCATTATAAGAGAAATGGCCCGGTACATGGTGTCAAAGTTTTGATATATACACTAAAACTTTCGCTTTCGCGCACTCCCAATCACTTTTTTGTAATATTTTATGTTATTCTAAAGCTAAACGATTTGTATACATTATTCTGAAAACTGCATGTTTGCGCGCGCAACATCCGGTTGCCGAGATATGCCGTACTCGAATGGCTGAAAAGTTTAAATGCATCTTTGTGTACCAAAAGTCTGGTTATTACCCGGTCTTATTGAAACTTTACTATAATTTTGGGAAAATGCTATGGATCTGATATTGGTTCACTTTAGACTTTATGGCCCTATACAGTAGTAAAGTTTCGAAAAGATCGGGTAGTAACCAGACTTTTGGTACACAACGATGCATTTAACTTTTCAGCCACTTAGTACAGCATATCTCGGCAACCGGATGTTGCGCGCGCAGACGGTTTTCAGAACAATGTATACAAATCAGTTAGCTTCAGAATAACATGAAATATTATAAAAAAGTGATTCGGAGCGCGCGAAAGCGAAAGTTGTAGAGTATGTATCCCATTTTTGATGCTATGTACCGGAGTGCGGCGAAATGTCACACTCCCAATTATCCGGGTGCGCGTCTGGCACAGATGACTGATTGGCTGATTTACTCGTACGAAACTTGAGTGCTATCTCTGCATTTGAAAAATAATTTGTTTTTTTTATAAACACCCCATGTCGCCGATTTCTATCACTGGATCTGCTATCGAATTAGTGGCTTTATGCTACTCCACGGTGGATTGGTTGGCGGAGATGAGCACCAGCGGGAAATAGCCATACGACGACGTTAAAATGCAAACCAAAGGTGACCTTCCAAACGCTTTGCTTGTGTTACCATTGCTCAATGAGTTTCCGCGTTTTCGTTGCAGTCGGACAAGTGAAAACACTGAGTTTTCTCGACTGGCGCCAGATGATTAACAATCACTTTGAAGAGCGATTCTTCGTCGGTGTGGATCAAGCGGGCGAATTTATTCGCCGGGATTTGGTGAACATTGCGCCGATCTACAAGGACACGGCTGGACACCTATGGCTCCATTTCATTTCTGGGCGGATTATCAGCTGCGGCCTAACTTATGCGTCGCCATGGCAGTGGTAAATGAAACAGTTCAAAACAAACTATCGATGAAATTTTTAACAAGAACAGCTTTTTTATTATTGAAGGAGCATTTTTCAAAGGAGCATTCGGCCATGTTTTAGCTTTGGGCTTTTCGCTTACGCTTAATTCATATTTTTTTAAATCTCTCAAGTTTTATTATTTCTAACGATAAAATGCACAAGCTTCACCTTTCTGCTGAAAGTTTCTCGTCAAATTTTTCATCGAATAACGCCTCTCTGTACATACTCGTTTAACGCATGGCGCGCATTAAAATTTCTTTGCGATTGACAAGTTCCTTTCTTTGCACAAATAAAACATCCGTTTTAGTTGGGCAGTATTGCGCAAGGTGCTAAACAAACTAAAGTCGCCACCTTGAGTAGCATACCCATATTTGGTCTAGTTGTGTTCAAAGACATATTTTTCTCTGAAATTTCCCGTAATCGGCGTCCCTTTACAGGAGTGGGTGTGGCTGATGGGCTACTTCTTGCGCGCGAAATTAATCTTCGCGGGTAAACAGCAGAATACGGAGGTTATCAGCAAAACTCAGTCGTTCGTGGACAGGGTGCTGGGCCGGCACTGGCTGAAAGTGCGGAGCTCCGGCTGGCGCGGTCTGCCTGAACAGACCAACGCCGGAGGGGCTTATTGCCCCCACAGCTGCCACACCCCGGCCTGGAGCATGGCCAATATCCTTGAGACGTTGTATGCGCTGCAGAATGAGAAATAACAAATGCTTAATGTGTGATTTATCCCCCGTGTTGCTACCTGTTCAGGCGATACTCGCATGCTTTCTCGATAAACTGGAGATTTCTTTTGATTTAACGGTGCCTGGGTTTAATTTATTTGTCGGTTATTTATCTGTTATTGGTTTCGGCTTTTTGTCTTTTCACACTTTGCAATTTTCAAAGTTTATTATGGCGCTTTAGTCAAAATGTGCGTGGGTGAATCCGGGCGGGTTATGAACTCAAGGTTTGCGGATGGAAAGGTCACTGTCTGTTGTGCTGCGATTTCGACGCGGTGTTCGCGTCACAGATAGCGGAATAAATCCTGATTATGCTAAATCACGGAAAAACGATCATCAACAGGACAGTTTTCACTGCTGCGCTTTTTTACGCTTTGATAATTTTGCTATATCCTAAAGTGTCTTTCGTGGCAAGAAAGATTATACGAAATGTAAAATCAGCTTCCATATGAGTTACTAATCAACTTACTATCCTGAACGCTGGTACAAAAGTTTTTCCTAGCTGAAACGTTATCCTATTCGATTATCCATTTTACTGAAAAGTGAAGTGAGGTGCACTGCATTGCTTCCACACGGTTCACAACAGTTAACGTAGCGTATGGGCGGTTCACTTATAAACTTCATGGCTTCCAGTTGCCATCCTAATTACGGTACTCGTATCAGTAGCAATTAGCATGAATGAAATCGAGGTCTTTTTATTTTAGTACGATGATTTAAATATGACTGCAAAGTGTATATATATATCAGTACAATCAAGTTTTCGTCAATCGGCTGTGCTTGAGCTCGTTAATCCGCGATTTGAGTTTGTGAGATGCCGTGCTGTTTGTTTCGCTCACTGGTTCATATGACTTCATGTGAATCGTGTCTAGTGTGCCAGCCGCCTAAGCAGTCTGCGCTTCCAGTACAGTAGGAACCGAATATTGTAATTAGTGCGATGGCTTGAGAGGACGAGGGTTCGTGGGCGACCGGGCTTTTCTTTACGCATTTGCAACAAATAATTATGTAAATTTCCGTTAAATTTTTGGTTTTTGTGCCGCAGGCCCCGAGTGCTGTGATTCTTAAAAAAACTGTTGTTCGTAGTTATGTCGTTAGACAGTGCATTTTTTTGCATTTTGTTTCGGCTATTGATTTTAGAAGCGGAAAGCGCGGTGGACTCGCAGGATCTGAGCCGGCAAGTACACCGGTATGACGGGGAGCCGGTGGACGCTTTCCTCCCGCTGACATCCGCCAAGATGCGCCCATCGGTGGCGCATGCGCTGCTATACGATCATGCAGAAGCACGCTAATCCCAGCGTCATCAAGGTGAAGTTGTTCATGATTGGACCATAACAGCCATTTTTTGATTTTGTTGTTTAATTTCGCAAAAGTATGCAACAGTAAAAGTAAGTAAGGGGTCCAAAAACTCAGTAACCCTTCACTGCACTTCACGCCCATCCAGCAGCTGGGCGACAGCCACTCCGCCCGCCTACGCCCTCAACGGCCAACTGAAGATGGTGCCCACCATCCAGGGTTGAGTGGCGTCTGTATTCGTCTCCAGCCAAAGCAGTATCGGTCTTTTCTTCTTCCACTGCAGCATACCGGCATTTTAATGCTGTTCCGGCTAAGCAGTGTTTAATTTTGTTTGAGTCATGACGATGCTCGTTTTTTTTGCAAGCTATCCTTGAATGAAAAAGGCGATCACTGTATGATTTCGTAGAGTAGCGGCACATTGGGCGTTCTACAACCTTTTGCAGTGATTAAAAATTGAAAAGCAGTATGTCTCACTTTAAAATTGCATTTTTATTAGCTGAAACGTGTAATTAAAAATAAAAGCTGTTTTAATAATAAAAGCTGTTCCTTTCTTCCGCTGCAATAATACGGGCATCTGTGCTTTATTCGGCAAAAGCGCAACGCATAACAATATGCCAGCGCTGATAGACACTTATTTGTAATTTATTTATTTACGCTTCATCAAACCTGTCCGTTTTTTAGTACATAGTTTGTACTCTCATGTTATACTTATTAAAGGATGCTCACGATTTATTTGTGTTTGAAATGCATTTGTATTTTATTTTGGCTGCCCAGTTTTAACTGGACAATATTTACTTAATACTGTTTGAATGCAGCCGATTTCAGATTGTAACGGGGTATTTGTTAGCAGAGCATCGTTTGGTTGGCTTCGTATGAATATTTCGGTTTTTTTTTACAAGTGGACATTTAATTAAATTTAGTAAATAAATTAGATTTGTAGTTTTTGGTTAATCCTACGTAATAATAAGACGATGGAAATTCACAAATTCTTCATTCTTCATACCGTTGGAAATTCATACGACGTCGTAGAGCAGAGGCACATTCCACTGCCTTGAGTTATTCGCTAATAAAAAAAATACCTTAAAGAGTTAATCGGTATGAAGCACAACGAACAATCCAAAAAGCTTGCTGATTTAATAGCTGCCGTTGCGAACATCATGCTAAAGGGAAAAGTTCCCCAGGAAACTGCAGATGTCTTCTATGGTGCCAGCCTCTTTGCCTTCAAGAAAAAGGACAGCGGCATCAGGCCTATAGCTGTCGGATTTTGTCTTCGGCGAATAGTGTGCCGCATCGTGTCATACAGATGTACCCACTTGAATGACGTGCTACGGCCCGTGCAGTTAGGATTTGCGACAAAAGGCGGCGTTGAAGCAGCAGTCCACGGTGCACGGTATTTTATCGAGCACGCTCTTCAAATGGAATCCCCACAAGTCTTTCTAAAGCTGGATGTGAAAAACGCATTTAACTCCCTCGATCGAAATTGCATTTTAAAAGCTGCGGAAGAACATATGCCGGCGTATTACCACTTCGTGTGGCAGTGCTATGGAACCCCATCAGTGTTGTTGCACGGATCCCACCAAATCCTTTCCAGGGCGGGCATCCAGCAAGGAGACCCGCTCGGCCCGCTACTGTACTGCCTGTCTACGGTAAAACCACACAAGAATCTGAAGTCTAAGTTGAAATCCAGTTTCCTTGATGATGATGTACTCGGTGGCGACCCGGACGATGTTTTTGATGATTTGTGTTCGCTAAAGGATGCATTGCGGGACTGTGCACTGCTGCTGAACATCAGTAAATGCGAACTAATCGTTCTGGGAGGTTCGGAAGAAGACAAAGAAAAGGTGACAGCTGCATTACTTGATGTGTTTCCTGATCTACAGTGTCCCAAATTACACGAGCTACACTATCTGGGCGCACCGCTACACGACGATGCTACGGCGGGAGCTATTGTTAATGCAACAGAGGTTGCAGAAAAAATGACGCAACGCTTGCAAATGATACCAGCACACCAGGCGTTGTACCTCTTAAGATGCAGCATGGGACCAGTCAGGGTGACGTATAAACTACGTACGGGTCGATGCTACATGCATAGCGGCCTTTTGCAAGCATTCGACGCGGTAATCCGGGAAAGCCTTTGCACGATTACAAACGTTGCCATCACGGACCAAATGTGGACGCAGGCATCCCTGCCGATCTCCGAGGGCGGTCTTGGAATTCGCAGCATTGAGAAGCTAGCCCTTCCGGCCTTTTTGGTCTCGGCTTACTCAATCGCGACGCTGGCATCCGAGACTGCGGACTTTCACCCTGATGAGTACTGCAGCGCGGCAGTAGAGCAATGGCAGACAATTACAAAAAGGGATGCGCCGGATGTCAATATTCGCAACCTACAGAAAGTGTGGGATGAACCTCTAATCGCGGAAGCTGTGGGAATGTTGCGGGTTGAAGCCCAGGATGACCTATCCAGTCAAGCTCGGCTGCGCGGCGTGAGAACAAAAGAGAATGGGGCTTGGCTAGAGGCGTTACCGGCAGCATCACTTGGAAACCTGCTGACAGATTCTGCCCTGAGAATCGCTGTTGGGCTACGCCTTGGAGCTGCTATCGTCACTCCGCACCGTTGCATCTGCGGGGACTGGGTGGACGCCCGAGGCTACCATGGCCTCAGCTGCAAGAAAAGTCGAGGCAGAAAGCCCAGACACAGCAGCTTGAATGCTGTCTGTAAACGAGCATTCGCATCAGCCGGAATTGAAACAGAGCTTAAACCAGTGGGCTTATGTCGAACGAATGGCCAACGCCCGGATGGCGTTACGTTAGCACCGTGGGAAAGAGGAAGAATGCTGACGTGGGATGTCACCTGCGTCTGTACGGTGGCATTATCGCATATCGTGGCAACATCC